ATGGGACTGAACAGGATTCCTACATTGTTGATGGACAGACACACACAGCAGGATATGTGTGCAGAGCTGGAAGAGGAGATCCAGTGTATTATACTCTTTACAGTGAACCTAAGTTTGTCTGGTCTGGAGGTAGGTTTGTTTCTGTTGGTCCTTATCTAAAGAAGCATCTGTTATGTATTCACCTTGATATATGTTTTTGTTGTAACTTACATACAGTATCTTGAAAAGTAACACCTATGTTGACAACTAATTAACTGTGGTGACCTTATGATCTTTCCTCTCTTGCTTGCATCAAGCCAGACTTTATGCTTTCCATCTTACTGGGTGATTTTACTTATGGGCTCAGGTGGAATTACCTTGTTTCCTTCAGTCCTTACCTCCGTTTCCTTTTGTAATTAATCTGATAGCATAAAAACACCAAAGAGTTAGAGATGAGATTTTTGCTGTAACTTTTACTTTGGATATTTAAGCTCATCTTATACTTACTATATTTTCATGTAACAGGCAGGACATGTGTACTTTGGGGAACTGGCAAATTCAGGCAAAGAAAAACCAAAAAAGTCAGCACGCTAAATGGACAGGGTAAACAAACAGAGAGACAGATAAGACAAAAGAGAATGCAGCAGCACATTTTATTATGAAATACTTGCTCCTTGTATCTTTGTAGAGTGGGAAACTGCCTATTTTTACGTGCCATCTTTCAGACAGCAGCTGCTGTTGTAACTTAATTTTCTAGCATTAAAAATATGTTCAAATGATAATGTTTGAATTTATCCCCAACAATAAAAATACAGCAAAGGAATATTTACATAATAGGATCTTAGTCTTTAAATCACTGTGCATGGTTTGACCCCTTGTTACATGTTTTTCAGATGTTCAGTCATCTGCGTCTCTCATGGTGAGTCCAGACAGAGTTCAACACTTCACCTCTGACTCTGTGTCACTGAACTGTGAAGGAAACTCTACTGAGTGGAGAGTGAAGTTAACTGAATCTGGCAACATATTATTCTGCCAAAACTGGGGGACAATGACTGGATCCACATGCAGCATAGAGCGTTACCGGCCCAGTAATGCAGTGTACTGGTGTGAGTCTGGATCAGGAGAGTTCAGCAACGCAGTCAACATCACTATATCAAGTATGGTTTTGATACATTTTCTTTCTTTTAAGTAATGTAAACATCCCATTATGCAGCTTTTACTAGTGATGGCCAAATTAAGCCTTATGAACCAATTTCTTTATTTTCTGACCCCACCAGATGGCGCCCTTGGTTTAAAGATAAAGGCTGAAGGACTGGCAATGAAGTGTGCTTTCAAACCTTTGTTGAACAGTCAGTGCCATCTGGTGTCTTCAGAAAATAAAGACAGTGGTTCATGAGGCCTCATTTAGCCATCACTAGCTTTTACTATAGTCATATGTCATGTACCTGTTATCAGCACAAACTTATTTGTCAACAGATATTTGATGAACAGTGTTGTTAATCAACATCATCAGGAAATGACTGAGAAAAATATGAAATATAAAAATGTCAAAATACACTGTAGGGGGAGTTTTCATGTTAATGAATGACACCTGTTGTTTAACCTCATTCTGTGTCTGTATTACAGGTAACCGTATTATCCTGGTGAGTCCTGTCCATCCTGTGACCGAAGGAGATTCTGTTAGTCTTAGCTGCAGAATAAGAAGCCAAACATTTGCTTCCAAGGTGTTTTTCTATCAAAATGGCAAACTCATTCAAAATGATACCAGAAGGGAGCTAAATATCTCTGCAGTGTCAAAGTCAGATGAAGGCTTTTACAAGTGTGAATACTCACAAAAAGTGTCAGCACAGAGTTGGATGTCAGTTAAGGGTGAGTAGGATTGAAACATGTGCTGCACTTTCACTGATTCCACCTGTTGGATTCAGTTCATTTTGAGCTGAAGAAAGTCTGCATCAGTTGTTGTGATAGTCTTGAGTTACTATGAATGTCTAAGTTCACACTGTATTCTGGTATGTTCCTTGGATGTATAGTGCTGTAAGTGTTTATCTGTAAATCAAAATATGAGTGACATTGACATTAATGTTGTGTGTGTACGTGCATGTGTGTTGTTTATACCACTGGATTTGTAAATGTATGTTTAGTCTTTACTTTGGCGTCATGTGACATGACTCATCTTTATGAAAATGTATGTACATTCAGAAGCTGCTGTTTACATTTATTAACAGTTTTTATTTATTACAGGAGTCTCCAGGCCTGAAAGCTCTTCATCTCCTGTACTGATGATTATTGGGCTGGTTTTTGGAATTGTACTTGTTATTCTTCTGCTCCTTTTGTATCGCTACAGACGGTCCAAAGGTGAGACCTTTATTACATGAGTTATGATTTAATTGTTCAAATACACAGACGTGTTCTGATCCAGCCCAGTCGCCAGAAGAAAATGTTGGCATTGTACATTTTTGCAAACCATGGATACATTACATTTGTATGTTTCACATGAATCAAATCAACATTTCTAAAGTGAGATGGCTGCCAAGCTGCAGACCTCTGTCGGCGATGAACAATGGTTGGTTATGGTTAAACATGGGTGTTTTTTGGCAACCCAAGGCCATGTTTCCAGCTGCTTTTGTGCCACCGAACATGGGTAATTTAAGCCAAACCTGATCTTTTCTTACCGTACCCTAGTGGGTTGTGTGCCTGAACAAAACCACACATCAACCACAGCATTATAAGATTCGTAAAGTTTTAATGTATCTGCTACATAATAACATACAGATGTAATGTGTGGTTTTCAGAAACATACAATGTTGTGTGATGTCATGACAGAATGGCAGTATGACAACTTAAAATACAAAACCATCTAACAACAAATGTCTCTTTTACAGATTCATGCTTTATCAGGTTGGTACAACATTATCTTATTTTGAATATAACAGGAAGTACATGCCATGTTCCTCTGTAAATTTATTATCTACATGTTGTAGGCCAGTCCAGTCTGAGAGCACCAATCGGGGCTTTGCAACCGGTCACATGGTCAACCAGAATGAGGCTCAACAGAATGAAGATCCCTCTCCTCTCCGTGGTAAGGACACATCTTGATTTGATACACACATTTTAAAAACATTTAAGGATGTTTAATTATAATATCATGCAGTGAAAATAGACGCTCATCTCTATGAATCAATTAAAGGGTCTGAAGACACTGAAAATGGTACAGTATACACCGATCAGCCAAAACATGAAAACCGTGGGCAGGTGAAGTGAAAAACATTGATCACTTGTTACAATGCAGTGTTCTGCTGGGAAACTTTGCCCCCCCCAAATGGCAACAATGTACTTTGATGGCAGTGGAGTGGATGGTCAGGAGTGACCCGAAGAAAGTGACAGAGAGCTCAACACATCAACCTGGCCTCCAAATTCCCCAGATCCCAATCTGATTGAGTATTTGTAGGGCGTGCCGGTACCCCAGACGTACCCCAATCTACAGTGGGGTCTTTTTTGGATTGGACTTGGCTCTGACATGTCAAGGCATGGACACGGGACCTCTAGGGGGGGCTTTGGAGTCTGGCACTGGGGCGTTGGCGGTGGATCCTTCGAGACCTGTCAGTTGTGAGGTGGGGTACTGGCATGTCCCACGGATGCTCGATCAGATTTGGATCTGGGGAATTTGGATGCCTGGTTGATGCTTTGCACTCTTTGTCATGTTATTTAGTAACACTGCAAAAATGCCCTATCATATTTAGGTGAAAACATTTTAGACATGAGCTTTTCTTTTGCTTAAAATTTGGTTGCTGGTGCACTTTGATTTTTCACTGATAATATTTCTCTGAATAACTCAGGATGTCCAACTACAAGAATGATCAAAACAAGATCAAATTACTCAAATAAGATTTGTATTTGAATTCTTGTTTCTAGATGATATAACGTCAACCCAAATAAGATCCAACTGTTGATTAAGACAAGGAAAGTGACACTTACCTGAATTAAGTCTTGACAGCTTTTTATAGTGAGCACGAGATAATCCAGTTCATACTCAGAGCAAATTACACTAGAATTGAAATCTAAATATAAGAAGATTATACCATTTACTTAGACATAGAGTTGTCCCAGTGTCAGTAAGAAATGCAGTAACTGCATGATTTAAAGTTGTTTCACACCAAGCAGGATTTTTGTCTATAGAATTTGCATGGAAATTTACAAAAACTGATCTTTGTAACAATGAGTGGGGACAAAAACTATTCAGACAGATCTCAATTTCAGCAGTTTGCCAGCAAAAGATGTTTGACCAGTGAAATCCTTTGTTCCAAATGATGTAAGACCTTCAGGTCAGAGCTAGCTTGCTGCCAAAATAGAGAATGTCTTCTTACTTTGTTCTTGGCTTCAACCAGGGTAAGATGAAGATGCTAATGTAGCTGTTATGCGTTTGCTGACGTTATATGATGGTCACTGTCCAAAACAACCCGAAGCCCGCTGCTTATTTTGTGTGGAATAATGTAATTGGACGACTGAAACAATCAAACAGTTCATCTTCCCTGGTTGGGATTATATAGTGTTCCATACAGCAGTGATATGAAGGTGTTAGTGAGGGCTAACCCCCCCCCCCCCCCCCNCTGAAAAATTTCCATGGAAATTTATAAAAACTGATCTTTGTAACAATGAGTGGGGACAAAAACTATTCAGCAGATCTCAATTTCAGCAGAAGTTTGCTTGCAAAAAGATGTTTGACCAGTGAAATCCTTTGTTCCAAATGATGTAAGACCTTCAGGTCAGAGCTAGCTTGCTGCCAAAATAGAGAATGTCTTCTTACTTTGTTCTTGGCTTCAACCAGGGTAAGATGAAGATGCTAATGTAGCTGTTATGCGCTTGCTGTCGTTATATGATGGTCATTGTCCGAAACAACCCGAAGCCCGCTGCTTATTTTGTGTGGAATAATGCTCTGCAGATAATTCACACCAGCCTGGTGTGAATAGCTGTCATTCAGATTTTTGCATCGCACTTGTGCAAAATGGCTTTTCAGGGGATTAATTGTGAGTGACTGATGCAGAACTCAAAAAATGTGTATTTTTCACACACAGCTGAATCTCAGGATGTCACCTATTCATTGATTGAACTTAAAAACTCTGGAAAGAAGGGTGAGTACTCCAGACGAGATA